TCTGGCAAGGCCATTGGCGTTATCATTGATGGCGAGCTGAGATGGCTCATTGGCACCAATCTTCAACACAGCACGCCATTTGGCGAACCTAGCACCAGCCTCGTAGTACTTCTGGCAACGTTCTGCGAGACCATCAAGACCTTGAGTGGTGGTCTCACCATCGGTCCCGGGGAGTTCAACGGTACCCTTGTCAACCTTAATACCAGGAAGGACTCCAGCTTCCTTCATGACTTCAACGAAAGGCTTGCCTGCCACCAATATCAGATCATCAATGTAATGCTACTACTACTACTACTAATCCTACACTTTCTGTCATAAACGTAAACGAGATCGAGCCTACACTTAAATTCAACAATCAAATAAAACAATAATCAATGCTAACAAATCAATTTCTTCAAAACATACCAGCAGCAGTCTTCTGGTAAAGTGTCTCCTCAAACAAGATCACACCGCTAAGGTACTGAAGACAACCAGGGGTGCAAAAGAGAAGCTCACGGAGAGCCCTCCTGTTTGATTCTACATTCTCGACATTGATGCTCGAGAGACGCTTTCCAATGGTTCCAGTAGATTCATCAGCAGCAAGGATACCCTTTCCAGGGGTACCAATGTATGTAGCATTCTTAATAAGCTCATCTACAGATAATCAACCATTAATTACCTCTTATCAATCACAAATCACTTCATTTTTAATGGATTCTCCAAAAATACACTATCTTTATGGATATAAATCTAACAAGCATGTAGCAACATAAACTAAAACATAAATCAACAGATTCAATCAAGAACAGTGTAGACAACCAAATCCTAACCCTAATCCTAATTTTCATGGACAATTAGTACCATTTGTTAAAAAGATTTGAACTTTAAGATCTATAAACTATACACAAATTAAACTAAAACAGGAATTAACATGCTACAACAAACTATCACAAGTTTCAATCAGATCCAGACTAAACATACAACAAAAATTATATATTAAAAAAAAATCAACAACTATATTATGATTAATAATTAAGCAAATAACAATCATAAAGATAAAAACAAACACAAAGATCTATAAGTGGGACCATGAAAGGGAACCTTCAAACACAAAGATCAAAACTTTTTTTTTTCTTCAAGAAAGTTGTAGTCTTTACATCAAAACAAAAAATAAAAAATACCCAACAACCAAGATCCAAAAACAACACAACCCCAGATGACAAAACAACAAGATCTATCAAAAAAATCAAATCTTGGATCAAAAAATCAAGATTCGAACAAAGTAAAAGTACTTACCAGCATACTTTCCCTTGTAGCAAGACATGATTAATAAGCTTAGATTTGAAGAAAGTGAGAGAAGTTTATAGAGAGAATGAGAAAAATGGAAGAGAAAGTTAGGCTTTTATAATACGGCATATAAGGAGTTGGTGGGGGGCTGCAATATCATCGATGTTATCGACCCCTTGTGCACGCAACCAGCGGTTTTATGTCATTTGACCATTTTACCCTCACGTATTTTTTTTCTCGATTTTTCACTCGGTGTTCGATACACGTTTTTTGAGATGGATTGGATTCGATACGTGTCTAGAAAGCTTCGTTATAGAGTGAAATGTTTTATACGGGAGTGAAAAGTCGACTCTATTTTCAAAGCTCGAGATTGTTTCTTCATATTAAAAATAAAGGGACATTTATTATCGACAAACGTTTTTATCCTCGCACATTTTTTTCTCATTCTTCATTTGGCTTTTGATATATTTAGAAATGGATTGATTTAAATATGTATCTAAACAACTTTATTTTAGAGGTGAAATATTTTCTATTAAAATCGACTCTATTTCCTTTCGACTAAGGATTAAGAGACACTTATAACTTATAAATAAATACATATATCTAAATTGTGTTTTGTAACCAACTTAATAAGTAAAAATGAGATATCTTGACGATCCTTAAATTTGATTGAATACTGATTAAAAGTATTTGTATTAACCATTTTCAACTCAAATTTTGAAGAAAAAAATTCATAAAGTCGATTAGTTATTTAAATTTTCAATTTATTATGATATTTTTTTAATTGAGAGTTTGATTTTTTACCTTATAATTTCTTCTATCTTCTAATTTTCTCTGCCCTTGTGTCATTAAAAAAATGATTTCCCACTTGTTTTTTTATATTTATATTGGAGTTCGATTAAATTTAAAATCATATTGAAAAGTTTCACAATTAGATAAAACGCTCCTTGACAAAGACAATTTTATATTTAAGAAGATTTGAACATGAGATTTGTTGATTAACGATAAAGAAGTACTTATTACTCTATCACGATAAGGCGAACTGAGGAATTAATGACAAAGTTAAGGGTAGTATTACCTAAAATTTTATTTTATTCAAATATTTAAACAATTAAGAGGGGGAAAAGGAAATCAAAACAATGGGTAGGAGACAAATGGGTGGTGTTATTGAGTGAAAACAACTTAAAAAGCCCACAAAAATCATGTGAGGAGAAGAGCAAATTTTGCCATAAAATTAGTCTTTTTTTTGTGTGTAGTAAAACTAGAAAAAGAGGAGTTAATGGTAAGTAGAAACCAAGTGCTTAGGTCCCTTGTTTTCTCTTTTAACTTTATGGTCTAGTCAAGTGTCAAAATCTTCACTCATCTAATTAGGAAATAGATAAAAAAATATTTTTTTAAAAAAAATTGTTTTCTGATATTTGATAAGTAATAAAAAATATTATCTAAAAAGAATTATGTATATGTAATTTTAACAAAATACTATGTGGGATGAAATGGTATGGTGAGTAAAAGTTTGAGGGTGGAATGGTCAAGAAATGGAAAATTAAGTGTTATTAATGAAGTTTTTTTCTACTTTTATTAGAGAGATTATTTTTTTTCTTATTTTAACGAATTTGTTTTTTCAAAGAAAATGTTTTTCACTAATATATTAATCAATTAAAAATGAGAAAATTAAACACACCTTAAATCAACATTGATTCTGTAAAATTGTAAGTCTTTTGAGACAACTCATTATATGTGATTTTAGTTCAATTTTGTTCTCTTTCAATACATTCACCATAAGTTTACATATACATATCGAATAATTTTATAAATCAAATGCAAAATATCACTCAACCATCATAATCGATCCTCAATTTAAATCTTTTAGTGAATATGGTCAATTTCAATACTTCTATATTATATGGTCATAAAACCATTTTAATATTTCAAAATTTTGCAAACACTCATGTTGTGTATGTATATAAGATTTTCCCATCCAAAATTCATAAACATCATATAATTTCGTATTATAATTATTTTTTGAACTTACTTTTCACTTTAACAGATATTATTATGTCATATAACACTCCATTAATTTTTCTCCACTTCAACTAAATTAACCAACTAGTTAATAGTCATATATATTAATATAACTCTATTTTGTATACTTTTTCATTAGCATCATCAATCATAAATCATGCTTAGCATTAAAAAAGAAACTAAATCAACATTAGAAAATAAAAGAGAATATGTATCTTGTATTTTAAATTTTTAATTACATAACTCATCTTTGTGAATTAGGTATAAAGTTAATAAGTCTTAATCAAGATGATGACATGATGTGCACCAACAAGAATAAAGTGAAACAAATAATACTAAACCTTTAATTTTCTAAATACAATAACATACTCAATTAAGAAAAAAAAATTATTTAATAGCCCTTCATGCCTTATTTCTCACCAACCAAGACAAATATATAAATAATAATTTTTTAAAAAAAAAAAAAAAAGGGAAAAGACCGTTTGGGGGGGGGGCCAAAGTACAAAGAAAAAAAAAAGAAGATACCATTTCAAAATAGCATATTCCATATAATTTTGTAATTAAGATTCGAACAGATTAAGATATAGCAAATTAGAGAGGTTATTTCCTATAAACTTCGTTTCGAAAGAGCTCGTAAAATGAGAATAAGTGCGCATGTATATATATATATGATTGCTCATCTTCATAAGTTTAGACTTTAAACGATATCCAATTATTTTGACTTTATACGATATATACGATTATCTTTTTAATAACCATTAATTATAATAAAATAAATTATACTATTCTTATAATATAAGGCCAACAATTGACTCTTTTTCTTTTAAATTTATTTATAATGAAAGGCAGAGAGCATGTTGGATCTTGAAACTTAATGCTTTGTCATTCTCCATGTTTCTACATATGGAGCTACTAATCACTTTAATTTATTTATTTCATTATAAAAAATAATAATTGAAGTTAGTAACAAAGTCAGAAGATGCATCAAATAATAATAAATAGTTTATGATAAGTCCAATTGATGATTGATAAGTGAGTTTTAATATTTTATTTTTAAAAAACAAGAATGAATAGTGACAACACCTACACCTCTTCCTAATTAACATTTCATAAGTTTTAAGGGACAACATTCACTAATATGGTTAATAATATTTAAAATAAAGTTTATTATTTTAATTATCTTGTATTGGTCTTCCATTGTTGAAAATATGCTTCATCCTTTTAATAGATCTAACAGAAGTGAATTCAAATTAATCGACCCATTGATAAAGACAGATTCACACATTTGACATTTGAATTCGTTAAACTTTTAAATGCATGAATCGTATCTACTTTAGTATTGATTGCAAGTTTTAGCTACGCCATGAAAACATAGATTTCAAATAAACCCACGACTACAATATCAGGTCTTAACACTTTGATTTTGCCTCAATTAATCTTAAAGGTCTTGAGTTCAAGCATTTGAAAATAAATCGCGCTTTTATAGAGGGAACTTAAGATTTTGTTTAGGTGTCCTAGGCGTTGATCTCAACATGTAAAAGCATAGGTTTTGTTGATTAATCCTACAAGTTGGCATTGATTTGTAATTAGGATATGATATCTACAAGGCAATATTCAAATGCCAAGGACCTTGATAGATGGATATCGTGTGAGTCAATGATTCACGTATCAAACATTAAACTGATAAAAATAGATACTACTACACGTTGATCTTAGCAAAAAGACCGAGAAAGGTATATTTTCGTCTCCAGAAATGTTCTATATCAACTTCAAACATTAAAAAATTTGTAATTTTCGACTCTCGAATTTCGAAACAAGTGAATCAAAATAATGACAGTAGCCTTCAAAGCAATTACTTCAAACTGTAGTTACCTATCAAAAAACAAAAGTTTTTGCTCAGTTCAACTGAAAACTCAACAGGGAGAGATCTCTTAGGGAAGAAAAAATGATCATTATCAAACGATAGCACCCAAATAGTCTTTGCTCGGACCTTCCAAAAATGTTGCTACCCACGGAGGTCCTCGAAAAGATACATAGCTTGTGGAGGATTCGAATCCGATACACATCAGTTGGTATCTTTGAAGAGCCCAAGCATATGTCTCAACTGTTCCACTCCACATCAAATTCCACTGCAAGATTAATCGGATCCGAGTTAATTTTCTTTGATGAAACTGCAGGACATGCATCACAAGGTTTATTTCCGAAAACTATCTTATCTACAATCGAAAATTAAGTGGCTTGGGGATGAATTATGATAACTCAACCCCAAAAGCTAGCTTGAAAGGAGAGAACTGTCCGAGTTTATATAACTATAAGTAATCACAAATCATTACCAACCAAAGTGGAACTCTACCCCGCTTAAATACCCACACACCCAGACTGCCAACTAGAATGTGGGCACTATAATAGGAACTATTATAGGCATGATATAGTCCTACCGTCAACTCAACCACAAAAACTAGGTCGGGGGTGGGGATGGGGTGGGGAATTGTTAAAGTTCATATAAGGAGACTTAGCTCATTTTCACACCAATGTCGGACTCTGATACCTCCGGCACACCCAGACTGCCAAGAGTATATGGGGGCCAAAACAGGACGAACTAGACTCCGATACACTCAACTCCAAAGGTTATCTTAAAAAGAGAAATTGCCCAAGTCCGTGTTAGGAGACCACCAACCCAACCAATTCAGGACTAACCCACTCTAACAGGGCTAAATAAAGAACCACTACCCATTCTGAAATCCAACTTATTTCAAATTTTCATCTAATTCTCTCCTTTCATTTTTAGTTGTTTTGAACTATGAAAGGAAAAAGAGGCTGTTTATATCTTGAAATGAGAGGAAACAACTTGCAGTCTATTTATTTATTTGTTTTCAGTATAGTGATCAATGAGGTCTAAGGTACTAATCCCAGCAAAGGCAAAAATACGAGGTGATTTCTTCCAACTTGTCCAAGCTTTGGACAAAGTTATCAGCATCTATATCCTGTGAAAATAGTCTAGGTGCACGAAAAATAACCTAGACACCACAGTATCAATAAAAAAAATTGAGGTCTTAAATGAGGTCAAACGTTATTAACCACCAACCCAACAATCCCTATTAACTGAAGGACCTAACAAGAGTGTTCGATGCTTTACCTTTTGTTAAGTATCAAAATCTCTGCAGGTTATCATACTCTTCCTTCCTCCTAATTTATATGACGTTCTTTTCATTTCAAGTCATCCCAAATATGCCTTGTTAAAATACATTTCCAAAATATACCACACCATCCTACTAATAATATAATTGTATACAACCTCCACAACTTTCAAGACTTCAAAATTACCTTATCAAAAAAGGTAACAAAAGTTTCAAGGTTTCAAATTCACACGAGTAGAACAAATTCGAAAGTCACTACGATGGGCTTTTTTTTTGCTAAACTAACTTTTAGATATTACTACCTTCTTCCTTTGCCATAGATGATATATATATTATAGACAACAATTATATTGAGCCTCATGCCAAATCAAACACTATTACCAAGGGAGAATCAGTCTTATCAAACTCGAAAAAATGCAAAAAAAATCTCTAAGGTCCACTATAGTTTTAAGTGCGAATGAAGTGTTGACTTTAATAAAGAAGCGTGCAAATGAAGAACAAAATACAAATATGTATGGGTAATCCAAGACAAATAATTATAAGCATGAATAACAATATATGGACAAAGAAATTAGAATTTTTTTTTGTGAAAAAAGGGAAATATCAGTTTTTGACCTCTCATGGACACTACCTTTGACTATAAGGGTAGGAGTTGAAAACCTGAATTCTTGGAGATAAAACAAAGTACCAAGAACATCTGGAAAATGATCCCTAGCTGTATTTTTCGGTGTGTTTGGATAGAAAGGAATAGAAGATGTTTTGAAGGGATTTCGACAAAGTTTTGGTTTTATCACCATCCCGTAATAGATTCACATAATATGAAAACACCAAATAAACGTGAATACACGTCACAAATAGACTCATAAAAACAATCAACAAACTTAACAATTTAATTTTCATTTATCTTTAGATACAATCCAACATTATTACTTAGCAATTGTAGCAGAATAAATAAGAAGAAAATTTTTGTTGGGATTCATGGTAATCGCATCATAGATTCACATAATATTAGAACACTAAATAAACGTGACAATACACATGGCAAATAGACTCATAATGTGAAAACAACAATACGTGTGACAAATAGACTTGCTCAGGTTTATTCAGCCAAAACATCTTATTTTCTTCTTTAATTATTTTATTTTTTTTGCAATGGATACAGAGGATTGGGAAGGGTAGGCAAAAGATTAATATGAAATTGATTGAGTCAAAGGAAGCACGCACTGTTACTTTCTCGTAAGGAAAAAAGGCTTGATCAAGAAAGCAAATACTATTCAACTCTGACCGGAGCAGATGTGGGTGTTTTACTCTTTTCACCAAGTGAAAAATCATATTCCTATGGCTCCACAAGTATAGAATATATTTCTTGAATAGATACTAGACGATCTCTAACATGATCATACTGATGTAGGCAAATCAAATGTCTTTGAGGCACTCAAATATACTGTCAGTCAAACTTACGTTGGACCAGTTCATGGCAATCTAGTCGTGGTTGGACAAAGTTAAAAAGGGAAAAAAAGTAAATGTATCCCTAAACCAGAAGAGGAGGAGACTTCTTAATTAATAATTATCATGGAGGTGGTATTGGAGTTGTGTTTGGAGGAAACTTACCAGCTATCAGTCTTTTAATATGGTCAAGTCTTGTATTTGTTAGTAAGTCAATTGCTGTTAGTTTTCAGTCCTCCATTTATCTGAGCCCTCTTTTGTTTTTTATTAGCTCCCTATGCTTCAAGGTCTGTTGTTGTAAGAACTAACGTATCTTTTGTAACTTTGCATCTTCTTGATGCCAGCTATACAAAATCTATCTTCATAAAAAAATAAAAAAAGATAAAAGGCTCATTAGCCAGGAAAGTTAAGTCTTAGAGCCTTGATGACAACATTAAAGTGCACACTAAGCGAGACGAAACACTCAATATGTTTTGCAACTCGATTTAGGGCTTAAGCGCACCTTTGACAACACTAGGAGTAACGCACCCACCCCTCCAAGAAGGTATAGTTTAGGACAAGCAACAGTCTCGAGTAATTTCTTCAAATGAATGACTAGAAATAAACTAATTTACAGACATTTTTGTCCATTGATACTTAAACAAAGTCAATGAGAATTTATTGATTTTCTCTTCACTCTCAATGTAAAATGTATATGTCTAGTTCATACTATGGTAAATACCACAAGAACACAATTCTATAAGGAGTTGCTTAAAATTTCCCCACTCTAGCTGAAGTTTATGGCACAAATATGTAGGAGATTCGGTAAATTCCAAAGATGTACATCTAATTCAACTTATAGAAATCATTCACATAAATGGCATCTTATGTGACTTCAAGCTCTAATACATTTAAGAAGTTGTAGTCCCAAATAGTTTTTGTCAATTCAGAGAGAATAAATGGCTTACAGAACTCCTCAACTGAAATGCCTTTTGAGGCATAGCTAGACAAACTAGTATGGGAAAATGAAAGTGAATTAGGAAAAGATTGTGTTCACAACAACTGTATCTTCCGAATGGACCAATTATAAAGTTATCCCCTCTATACACCTTCAAGTTCACTCTTTTTAATCAAATCAAGCAATTAAGCTTCACTTACTGAAGTTCCACGCCAATGTGACAACAAATGAACACACCTCCAAACAGCTTTAATAAGAGGGATACATTTAGGAGCTTTTTTTAACTTTTGGCAACTGAGATAGCCCCGAGAGCCAGTTAGGGCACGGTTCAAAACTCGGTCATGGATCAGTTTTGGAACTTCTGATGATAAATTTATAAGTGGGAGCAAATGAAGCATGGCAAGTACAATAAGTTATGTAGTATACAAAGATATGATAACTTACAAAAGGACTCACTGGTACAAATATCCATCTCAAGCAGAAGTATATATTTAGTATTTGTTACAATTCATCTCTTTGAATATATTGACATAAGCTTATCATTGGTCCAAATGCCAATTAGACGTGCAAAGACTCGTAAAGAAATTAAAATATTGGGGATACCCATTGTCAGGAAAATCTCTCAAATCACACAATGCTTTTGCTATCTAACAGATACAATCATTGAAGAACATACAGAGCTATGCCGTTATGTAGTGTCAAAATTCAATGACATATTAATCACAAGCAACCTACCTTGAAAAAAAACTAACCTCTTCCGTCCATAGTGCACACATAATCCAAGTAATTCAACATCTATGACAAAGTATATTGAGACAGCCTAGAAGCCATATGAGAAACTTGAGCCTGCATCTGAACAGCCTTAACCTTTGACGCCGTGGCACGATGAATGAATTGTTCACGCGACAACAACCTTACATTCCTCAAGTACTGATCAAAAGGAATTGCCCCATCTTGTATAGCTTTATCCAACGAATAAATCACATCCTCCATAGCTAAATCCGAGGCTGTACAATCCAACATCTGTTTCGAAAGTCTATCACAAAGCTCAAACGCCTCGTCCACATCCACATTCCCTATTTTCTTAACTTTCGTTTCGTTATCTCTAACCCACCCTTCCAACACATCAGCATTCATCAAAACCATCAGTAATTGCTGCTCTAACCCCTCCTTTTCATCCAGCATTTCCTTAACACCTTTCCTCAACTCCTCCTCACGACGCCTCAACACTCCTTGTGCATTAAACAACCCTTCCATATCCGACTCCCTCGCCTTCCCCAACCCTTCAATATCACTATGCAATTTCAGCATAAGCTCATCTATTGCATTTTTCTTATCCACCTCCGACGGATCATCCATTTTCCTCCCCACTACCCCACCACTCCCACTCCCATAAGGTGATGGTGGATACACCCGAGGTGGTATCGCAGGACGAGTCGACCCACTATTCGAAAAACTAGTACCCGGAGGAGGATGCGGGTTTGGGCTCGGATTCGGGTTCCGTTTGGTGTACAAAGGGGGATCACGGCTAAAAAAATGACTCAAATTACGAGCTAATTCAACAAGATTCGAACTTGGATATACCCAATTTTTTAAATAAGGGATTGAAACAATACCAGAAGAGTTCACAAATGGATGTGAGTCTTTGATGACCATATTACGCGTTGGGTTCACGAATACCAACGGCGATTGACGAGGGTAAGATTCCAGTAACCAAATAATGACCGGAATGTTGTAGGTTGCATCTAGATAGACCATCGGAACTGTGCCGTTCGCCTGAAGGAGATTCACAGTTCTGCCGTCGTTGTAAGTGAAAGTAGCGGTTCTAGGTTGAAGAGAAGGACACGTGTCGATCAACGAAACGAGGTGTTGACGGATTAGCCATTTTACGTCTTCGGAGTAAGGGAGAGAAGAAGGACCTCGTTGGGAGAGAACATTGCTTAAGAATTGTTGAGTGTATTGGGGAGATGACGGAGAATGAATCGCCGCCGCCGGCGTTGGTGGTGTCATTGTGATCAGAGGAGAAAACGCCGTCGGATTTGGTAAGCTCCGGCGAATTTGAAGTTGATTTTAAGGGTTCGATTTTTTAAATAAGATCTGGAGTTAGTTTTTATTAAAGCTATAGTTTTTATTAAAGTTATAGTTTTTATTAAAGCTAACTCTATAACTTTATATTTGAAAATTTGTGAAGCAAGCGTAATTTAAAAGTGTATTAATATCAGATTTTGCTATTTACAGTTCACCTAGAAGACACCATTTCAATTTATTCGAGTTAAATTACAGTCATCATGTTCTAATAAAGAAGAAACAAAGTTCACCAAGAAGACACGATCGATTTGTTCAAACTGAATAACATTTATCATTTCTAATAAAGAAGAAGCAAGTGAGAAAGTATGAAGTTTTTCAATACTCGCTACATTATAAATTCAAGGACTGTTTAGTAGTTGTTTTGAAGATTAATTATGCAGATATTACATATATAACTAAATAATATCAATGTTTAATAGTTAGTTATGGAAGAACATAACTAATGTTACATGTTTAAGAAAATCTATGTATTATTTATGCACAATTAATTCTCGTCGTAAAATGACATATGAATTTTCCTATAGCTAATCGAGCATATAATTAATACTTGCATAATCATAATTAACTAATCAAGCATACAATTAATACCTGCATAATTATAATCAAAACTAAACTAACTTGTTAGTTTTTAAAATGGATAGAATGTAAATAGAGGTGCCTAAGTTGACTATCCAGTGTAAATTCATACCTAGAAAATGCAACTCAAATACTTGGGCTGTTAAAGTTGAATTTTTAGCCCAATTAAGATGACCCAATTTATTTTTTTTTTATTTTTTTTGTATTTCTCTTGTTTAGTAACTTGTATTGTACAAAATATTTCAATCTATTTCAACTCATACTATGCATTTTATAGGGATTACCTCATTCAATCCTCTTCCAACTATATGTTGTTATATGTTCACTTTCAAGTATTTTTGTTTAATTTTATAAAAGAAAGATGGATAAAAGCGGAAAGCATTGGAGAAATAATAAATTTTACGGGCACAATTTGTTTGACAAAAGACACAAATCAACTTTATTGACTTCACCTATCGTCGTTATCTCTACATCTATAACTGGATAACACATAGCATATCATTAACCCTCCCTTGCCCACATGTTAGCCAGAGAAAGAATCACCACATGCACTGTTTAATCAGTAAATGTTTAATTAGTTTTTTTTGTTGATTTGTATCATGCTTACTTTTTATAGTTCTTATTCATATTTCTCGTTTTTATCTTTGTGAATTTTTGAAATCCTTTTTTTTTTAACATACGAAATATAAGAAATTAAGTCATTAGATCTTATTTTCCTGTTTTTGATTTTTATAATAACGTTTTAAATAACATGAAACTAAAGATATAATTCAATTTCGCGAATAAGCGATTCAACTTTTTGCAATCTTAATTTAACAAAAAAAAAATATTTTCTATCTTAAAGCATCTATTGGAGCGCTAATTAAATTTGAATTGCGCGATATAAAATTTATGTATGAGTTGATTTATGGGTCGGATTAGGTGTTTATGAGTCCGAATATCTTTTCATTTTCATATAAATGTTATGTGGTAAGGTCAAAATGATATGACAATTTCATGTGGCATTTAAGAAAAATGAAAAATGAGTTGGATATGTCCAACATGGCAACTAACGCCCATAAGGACATATTTGGACCAAAAGTTGGACGGCGAGGGCATGAGTGAACTTAACTTTAAACGAAGGGTATATCTAGACCTTTTCAAATAGTTTAGGGGCATATTTGACTTTTTTCCCAATGAAAAATGAGTTGGATATGTCCAACCTGACAATTAATGCCCATAAGGGCATATTTGGATAAAAAATTGAACGACGAGGCATGAGTGAACCAAATATTAAACGGAATGTATATCTAGATCTTTTCAAATATATTTGACCCTTTTTCCTTCTGATAAAATATATGGAGATGCAAGGTAACTTAACAAAATTTAAAACTATAAAGAAAACTTTTTGATTTTATGATATTAAATTAAGTTAATGATTTATGTCAAACTAGTTTAAAAAGTATATATTAGTACGGATCAATATATATTATTTTATTTATTTTAATTTACTTAACAAATTTTTATGCGAGTTTTAAATTTAAATACTTTAAGATGTTTATTCTTATAGTACTTCATAATACTTTTTTAAAAAAAAGTATATTTTTTTCGTTATTATTTATATGACAAATATAAAATTTTGAGCATTAAATGAATTGGTAATTTATTTTAAAAAATATTTAAGTTGTGTATCTAATTTATAATAGTTCGAAAGTAATTTTCAAGTGATGTATATTTTGCCTCTGCCTCAATATATCAAAACTTATCTTATAATATGGTAACAAAATAAGAGTTGCTAAATCTAGGATTACGCAACCAGTGGTTAAGTTAACATGAAATTAAATTCAACTCCTCACCTGCAAGTTAAATAATTTAAAACAATATTTAAAAATGCAACCAATAAGATAAGAACAAACAAAAATTTATATATATATACAGAACTAAATTCATATGTAACACTATTTGATTGTATAAATATTTATATATAATTTATATAATTTTTAAAGCTTTTGAGTTCAGGGCTTCATCTGAATCGTCTTTGATGGAAAGATATATTATTTATGTATTGTTAAAATAAACTTTTTATGTATATAGTAGATGTAGAACCTCTTTTGGCTTGTTTGTGTGTCCACTCTTCAGATTTTGAACTCCTTTAATAAAAATTCTTATTCCGCCGCTGATTACTATGCATCATTTTATTCTTTAATTCTTTACTATTGTCGTTATTTTTACTTTGGTTATCTTTCCTTGTTACTACTTACGCATCTTCAAATTTTCATCATAGAATTTTCGTTGTCACTATCTTTTTTTATTTTTTTTATCAAACTAGTCTCAATAATTATTTTCTTAAACTAAAGGTCGAATCGAGAACAATCTCTATACTACATCAATTAAAATAAGATTTACTTAAATTTATCTTTCTCCAAATTCCATTTATAAAATTATACCGATTACGTTATCATTTTCGTATATATAGTTTAGGGAAATTTTACACAAGAGACAAATGAAGCCCATGTTATCCACTTTTAAGGTTCACAATAAAGAATCTTTTTAGCCCATCCTATGCCATATGCTGTTAATTTTGTACCTTCTTTTTATATTAGGAAAGTCTACCTCATATCTTTCTGCAATAAATTCTCTTTAAACCCTTTCTGACACAAGAATTTTCCAAGAAACTACTCAAACTAAAATTTAAAAAAAAATAAATTATTATATACAATTTTATGTTATATTTTCTTAATAAAAAATTAATTTCGTTCTAAAATCCGTAACCTCTTAATTAAATTACAATTAACACCTAAATAATAGTCATAATAGCCATCAACATTTTAAATATTGCTTGAAATCATTAGAAATATATATTTACATAGAATCCTTCAAAAATATCGCTACTCTTTGAAAAAAATCAAAAGACACCCAACGATATTCATCAAACACCTTATAATTCACAATAGCCATCAACATTTCCTATACTATATTCAAACTCATCAAAAACCTATCGAGTCCTTCATAAACATCACTACTCTTCAAAAATTTAAAATTACCTAACGATAATTTTGAAAAATCTGAGCAAATGGGCAACAATAAACAATTCCTATCTTCTTCAACGAAAAAAGAAGAATATAAACAAACAAAGAACTCAAAAAGTTGAAGTCTTGAAAAGTAAAATTTTCATTTACAATTCCATAATCAAACACCTTATAATAGTCATAACCATTCCCTATATTTCTCGAACACATCAAGAATATCGTCACATCTCTATCGAATCCTTCAAAAAGATTCGAAAAATCAAACAAACACCTAATAACATTTTTAAAAATTCTAAACAAAGTCAGCAACACAAACCATTCCTATCTTCATCAACAAAAAGGAAGAAGAAGATTCAGAAGATAAACAAACAAAGAACTAAAAAATGAAACTTTAATGATTAAAGATTAGTTTTTCTTTTTGTGATGAATTAATCAGGACTCTTAGTAGCACAAATCATCAAAGAAAATCCATCTTTTTCTTCTTCTTCTTCTTGTTGTTGCTCCAAATTCTTCTCTTGATCAAGCCACAATCTACTATCCAATCCACTTCTTGTCCTAAACATAAACATTGCACATCCAGATTTTGGATTACACAACCAATCATGAACATCCCACATAAAATCCACAACCAATCCATCTAAGAATATCGTTTGATTTCCGCGAAAATTCCATTGCAATCTCTTCACTTGTATCACACTTTTCTTATCAATTGATACAAACAACATTGATGATGAATTCTTGATCAAGATGTCATGACATTTTCCATTATCACTAAACTTACCCTTAGTTACCAATACAGAACTACTTGAAAAATGTTCATTTCTTGAAACCAATCCAAATCTTGAAAATTTGTCATCAAGATTCAATTTTTTCAACTCAAACTCATGCCCCATGTCACCAAGAACCAACCCCACCTCACAATTCACTAATATCTTCACAAAGAACCCTTTGATTGGTTCAGGACCTCCTTCATACTTGGCGTTGCACAGATCCCAATAAACGTCGAATCTTGAAGAATACAATTCAATTGTTTGTGAACCTTTGGACTTGTCTAGTATTGTAACAACTTTCTTGAAATTCTTGATGTATCTTTCACTTATACTGATTGAAAATACATGTTGTAGTAAACAACACCATGTAATTTTGATCAAGAATTGTTGCTTCTCTATTGATGAAATCTTCACTTTGTAAATACATGTAACAACATTTTGTAGTGAAGGAATGTTATATACTACTTGATTTGATGGATTGGAACAATGTGAATTTGTTACTTTTATAGCATGTTCATTGTAACAACTTGCTATATTTCTCATTCTTGATCAACAACAACAAAAAAAAAACACAAAAAGATGGAAAAAAAAGGGGTGTTTCTTTAAGTGTTTGATTTAATTTTTTGGGGGACTATACTTTGCTTTTGTAGAAAGGAAATAATGGAAGATATTTGATAGGTTCTTTTCTTGTATAAACAGTTTAGTTTAACTATAACTTGAAGGAGTTGTTTTAATATGTAACAATAAGATAGAAAATTGAGGTTTTTGGCCAGGTCATAGGCCAAATAATAAGGGATACTCTGACCTGAACAATTCTAATACTTATATATACTAACTAACACACCTGGTATTTCGGTATTTGTATAAAGATTCGATTAAAACTGAAGAAAGTCAGGGTAAAGCGTTATGTTGATTTTTCTTGATTTTCCACTTGGTGTTCGATATCTGTTCGAGTGAATACGAAATTTACTTTACATCAAGATAGTAGTGCAATGGGCGCGCGGGTAAAATGGACTGAGTTAATAAATACGCGGATAATTGATCCATCTAAAAGTTATTTAGGCTAAAACATGAATAAAAACTCTAAGTTTGATAGGTTGAACTTATAAATGAGTGAGTCAATATTTTTTTGCAAATATGACTGAAAAATACATCTTAAAATGTTAGTGAAAGTTTTTATAGTTTGACTCAATAAATAGAAATCATGACAAACAATTATAACTAAACTAGTCATTATAATAAATTAAAATTAAGTGTGAGTTTTTTTTATACCATCATATTACTTCTAGCTACTTTAATATAGTATATCACATCTTATTTTTAAGATTATAAATCTCATATTTTAAAATTTGATGTTTATCCAAGTAATTTGATAGTGTAAAGTTTATTTATATTAACGGTATATAATTGTAATTACTTTGTGATGAACTTAATTTCATTAATGTGGTTTGCATTATCTCTACACAAACTCTATTTTTTAATCAAAAGTCAGAAGAATAGAAAGACCTAATTAATTTCTAAGGATTTTTTAAATTAAGAGTACTACTACAAATTTCAGTGACAGGTCATTAGTTTTTTTTCCAAAATATAATTTAGAAAAAAAACTGTGAAAGTTGACTTGATCTGATTCTTCAGAAATAAAAAATTAAAATGCTAGGTGTTGTACTTTATTCTTTAAATTAATTATTATTGTGCTTAATTTGTCCTTTTCTGTGTGCGTCAACTTCTGAAAAAAAACAAAACATATATATTTATAGTTTACTTTTTTAAAAAATAATTCTTTTTTTTAATTCATTTTAAAAAGAATAAATTTTTTGTTATAATAATTTTATCCAATAAAAGTAGTGCAGTTGAGAACATTAAATTTAGTGGAAATGAAAGAACATTGAAAGAGTAGACTAAGGGCCCGTTTGGAAGCACTTCTAATAAGTAGTTTTTAAAATGTATTTTTGAAAATATTGAAATTTATTTTTAAAATAAATAGTTATGTGTTTGGATAAAAGTATTGAAATTAAAAAAAAAAGTTGTTGATATGTTTGGCAAATAAGTACTGATAAACACTTTTTAAAATCAAAATATATGAAATACCCTTAAAAGTTGTTAACATGATAAAAGTTGATTAATTTAATAATAATAATAATATATAATAATGAATAATAATAATAATAATAATAATATAATAATAAATAATAATAATAATAATATTAACAATTATAGTAATATAATAATAATACTATATAATATATAATATATAATAATAATAAAGAATAATAAAATAAATAATAAAATTATAAAATATTAATAATAATATATAATAATAATAATACTAATATATAATAAAATAAATAATAATAATAATAATTAAATATAAACAATAATAATATTATAAAATAATATATAATATCTAATAATAATTATAAAGAATAATAACAAAAATAATAAAATATTAATTATAATAATAAAGAATAAAAAAATTAATAATACTAATAATTATAATAATAATAATAATAATAAAATAAAGTAATAATAATAATAATAATAAATAATAATAATAATAAAAATAAAATAAAGGAATTAAGGACAAAAAGGTAATATGCACGATCAAAATAAAATGACTTTTAAGTTGAAAAAAAAGCTCCTCTCACCTAACTTTTAGCTTTTGACTTAAAATAAATCTTTTTGATATTTGTTAAATACTCTAATAAATCAAAAATTGAGTTTTAAATCAATTTGACCAGCTTTTAATCCTATCCAAATAGAATCTAAAGAATGGTTCCCTTGAACTTGTGTCTTTTTCCAAACAAACACTCAACAGACATTAAAACAGCAATAATAATAATAGTAATTATTATTATTATTATTATTATTATAGTTCTTTATTCTACTAAAAAAAATTATTAAACCTATTAAATACAAAAAATATCATGGCATGTGATATTGGTTATGGGTTTATGTTTTTTTTTCCAATAATAAGAACATTACCATTTATTTTATATGTTTTAATTTGATTGAACACAAGTATAAGAGATAAACAAAGTTCTTTAGAAATTTAAAATCATAAATATGTCATGAGGTTTTTTGTGAACGATTATAAAGTAAAGTTTATTACTTAAACTGCTATTGAATTATTGGAAATAAATGAACACACAGCATGCTATTTTTTTTCTTCTATATTGAAAATCACTTATCTTATAATATTATGCTTAAAAAATCAATCAAATTATAATTCAATCACTTTCAATGACGTATGTGAGGATTAAATGTATATTACTATAACTGATAACAATCTATTAAGTAAGCGTTAAATATATTCGATCATAACTCCGTCCAGGATTACCTTATCTTTTATTGGTGAGGGATTGCAGTAATGATATGTCTCATTGCAGGGAGCCTAAAGGATACAAAATATTGACAAAAATTTCAAAATGGTATATAAAATTTTTTATATTAACCAAAACGGCAAAATCGCTACATCAACAGCGATTTACTCCACCGGAAAAAATAAAATTGCTGTAAAGAGAATATCTGTGGCCATAATATTTCGATCGGAGAATTTGATAGCTTTGATTAAGATTATGAAAAAATTTACTTAATACGTATAAATAATATATTCCTAACTGAGTATGATAGTATATATTCATCATGTGATAATAAATTTTATGTTAACGGTCAATCTATTGTAATAGTCTTATAGAATTTGTATTCGATAATGTAAGCAAACTCATATATAGTTCGTCATTTATATTGTCGCATTCGTATTAAATTCTTTGAAAATATACTATTTTCGAGAAATTTAATACTCAACCTCTAATATTTTTGAAAAATATAAACAAAACAGATTAAAACAACAAAGAGAGTGTAAATATATTACTCCAAATTTCAATGTAGTCAAAGGTCTAACTATTCTTTGCTTGTTTCATGTCCAAAAGAATTCCACTTGCCCAAATATTTAAATTACATATTTTTTTTATTATCATTAAGAAAATTTATTTGAATGGTATTGATTAATGAGATAAAGTATTTATCAACTATGGTTGGTTGGACCTCGATACTTGTTAAATTTTTCTATTTATTAGGGTTAGAGTAGAAAACAAACAGCCCTATACTGCCAATTCACTAATTTATCTTAAAATAAATCAATTTGAAACAAAAAAAATAATTCCAAGAAAATGGAAATAAAGACTGATTTATCCGCTAGTACTGGAACGGAATTATCTCTATAACAATATCGTTTGTTTTTTAAAATTTTTGTCCTCTATAAAAATCATTTGATATAAAATTATAATAATATTCGGCCATCCTAAGTTTTTAAAAAAACATAAATTAAAATTTTCATTTTTTTTTAATCATGTAAGAATTGTAATGTAGCTTAATTAATCACATTTCTTAATGATAGAAAATTATATTCTTTGTCATATAATAATTAAGTATCAAAATATTTGATCGATATTTCTAAAGCTATTATCGTTGATCTTGCAGAGAAATAAATAATCAGTTTGTGAAAAATTTAATTGTTATAATAAAATGTTGTTATATAAAAATGTTATAGAAAGACCTCTTCTGATAAACTTTTCCTCAGAAATTTATGAATTCCATGAAAGAAAATATTTTCCGTAATAAAAAAGCTAATAAAACAGAAGTATAAATTACCTAACTCGAACATTATTATTATTATACGAGAAGAATTGTTTCTAATAAAAATATATTAATTTTTATTTAATAATAAATTTGGAACAATCATCAAGGGATCTATAAAAAAAAAAAATTATTCACAACTACTAATACGAAAATAAAATAAATTAATAGTGTGAATACTCAACCAACTAGTCCTGCAAGATAATTAAGATCCATGTGTTTAGTAAACATCATTAATTAGATTAGTACCTATTTTGTTGCATATACTATTGTTGGCCATAAAATATTCATCATTCCATTTCAAGTATATAAATTATATTCATAAATCGACTAATATTTAATATTGAGTCCACTGAATTTGAATCACACATTATAAGGTCTATTTTTAAGGACGTGTTTCTAATGGAATTCTTTTTTTCATTCCAAATGGACCAAACCCGACATCACTAATCAAAATAAAGAAGTTTCAATCATCTCGTCACAAACTCAAATTAGTCGCTAATATTTTTTTTTAATAAAACCTATAAGTAGGTTATCTCTAGTTAAATAGTTTTAACTAAGGTATATCGATTAACGTCAATGATATCTATGCCACAAATAACAAAGTGCATACAATTAAATTTGTAAATAATTCACAACTTGAGAATAAAGAAATTAGGAAGCTACATTATCAATGAAATTTGTTCAACTAGAACAAAATTCCGATATTTTATTTTTTGAAAAAATGTATGTATTATAAATATTCATCATAAAATTGACTAATATTTCACGATGATTTTAAGACTATCGTAAGGTTTATTTGCAACCATCCTTTCTTTATTCAGGTTTGAGATCGATGAGGTGTAAGCTATCCAAATTTTTTAACATACAAAACTTATCGACGCCCACATTTCACCCTATTATGTTTTGCTAGTATAACATATAAATTATTTTGACCTACTTTTTTTTTTTTATCAATTTTACACTTCATAGATATAAGACGTATACATACATTATTTCTACTTTAATGAGTTAAAAGTTGTTTCTGAAGGTCTCTCGATTCAAAAGGAAACTATCCAACGTAGGATTATAAGAAAAGAAACAACAAAATAGCAAAAAACAAAACCATCTTTGTAACTATATATATATTAAAAAGTATATAAGCTAAGTAATAACAACAATTAATAACACATCAAGTGTAATCTCACAGGTATGGTTTGAATAGAGTACAATGTATAATATCGGGTACTGCTAAGTGATCAAACAATTTGATTATAAATTTAAAAAGTTTATAATGTATTTTTTATTTTAAAATAAATTAATTTTCTTTTCCTTTTTCTTTTTAGTTAAAAAGGTAAAAATATTAAAACAAAAAAAAAAACAAAATAATATAGTTTAAAATATGTATTTTTCCATTTTAGTCAAATTTTTCGGTTAAAGAATTTTTCATATAATATTATATCTTGGGAAATTCATATTATTTTGTTAGATAATATATAGATTCTGTTGACATAATATTTTTTTCTTCGTACCAAACACATTATGTTGTATAACCATGTATAACAAGTATATAGCATCTATATATCAGTTAAATAAATTTAAAAAAATCCTTTTATACTACACAATAAGGCAAAAATCCCTTTTATAACCATAACCATAAAATAAAAAATATATTAAAAACGAACTTTTAATATCTTTTATTTAATTTTCTTATACTATTGACATAGAGATGAATCTATAAACAACATAATATATGGTCCAAAAACTTTGCTTTCAAAAGAATTTTCCTTCATAATAATAATTCATCAGTACGAGGAATTTGGTCCATTTGTAATACTATTTGTCTTACATTTTTTCAAAAAATAAAATAATATGTGCACTGAAGCCATTATTTATATATGAAAAAGAAAAAAAATTCTTGATTATGATTTTTTGTACTATATATTTATAGCATGCACCTGACAGAAAAAAAATCATGCTAACAAAGCATAATGAATTAATTGGAGTAACCACCAAGTTATCAAAATTATATTTTCTCAAACGTGAATCAAAAAATCCATTTCGATTTTCATATTATATTACTTATATAAAAAAATCTTAAATTAGATAAAATTTAGGCATGAATATGAAATTCGATACTGAATTTGATCAAAGAAATTTAGGTACGATTTGACTATGCACCTATGATCAAGTTGATTTAATTTTAGATTTATATCATATATACCAGTTAATAATGTAAGGTACTATAATATTTTGCTATCATATTATTTTAAAACTAGTTGGTACATTTGAATAAGGGAAACTTACATAAATATAGTATAATGCAGATTTAATATAGTATTGCTATAAATGGTAATGAGTAAAAAGTATTGCTACAATTAATAATTATTTTTTAAAATGTATCAATTTATGTAATTTTTTTCTTTGAATAATAATAAAAAAAGTTTTTCGGGTTTTCTATCGTTTTGTATAGATGGGTTATGACAGCCCAAATGGATGAAGCCCATTAGAGAAGGATATTTTGTACCATTTTCAATACTTTGAGGGTATTTTAGGTCCTTTTTCGTTTTTAAAGCAAATTTAGTGACTTTTTATTAATAATAAACATATAAAAAAAATTCTCAATTAGCAAATTTAGTGGCTTTTTCTTAATAAACATATGAAAAATTCTCAATTGAAATAAGTACAAGTAAGGAAGGTTGAGTCTTACCTTACCAATCCTAATGAGATATCTTCTACTAATGATCAACTATGAAGACAATACGAGGTAAAGAGAACTAGATATTATATGATCATCACAAAGTTTACTATATACTCTGATGATTTTACAAGCGAGGATTCTTAAGCAAAAAAAATTATAAAAGCAAGGAGAAAGTTGAGTTATTAACCTCAAACTTCATTTTACAAATGTAAAAAAGAAAGATTGGTCTTCTAAAGAAACTTGAAATATGTTTCTCTTGTTCTCTTTCTCTTCTTGGCGTTATTGAATCTTGTTGAGTCGTTGACACTATCATATGATTCTATTTCGTCAGTCATATAATATTTTGAATTATATGGTCAGTTTCATGTTGGTAGTGTCTACATGTTTTATTTATCTTTGCACCAATTACTTCTTTGTGCTTTAGGTCCAAATTGTTATAATCTAGCTAGTCTTTGTTAATTTGAAATGTTAAATTGTATTGAGATTCACATTTTATTATAAAAATCCAAAACAGGAAAGTAACATCTAATAACTTTCTTATATTTTGTATGTTTGAAAAAAGGATTTAAAAATTTTACAAAGACAAAAACGAGAAATATGAATAAGAAAAGAAAAAAAAAAGACAAAAATTTAACTAAACATTTATAGATTTAATGTTAACCAGTACATGTGGTTATTCTTTGTCTTGCTAACATGTGGGCAAGGGAGGGATAATGAGATGCTATGTGTTATCCAGTCATAGACGTAAAGATGACGATCGTAGGTGAAGTAGACAGAGTCTTTTTCCCATCTCCATCTGAGTTCTCGTTCTCATTTTCATTCTCAATTAAAAAGATAACTAGACATTCGGGATCATGAGGTGGTGCAGACAAGAGGCACCGCGATATGTCAATCCTTAGTAGAAAGTGGCAGGAGCTGAATTTTTTCGTTAGAAATAAGATTCCAAAGATAACAATCATTAATTAGAATTAATGTTTTGTAACACGAGCCACTCATCCGTATAAGCATGTATTATATTTTCTTTAAGTTTAGGTATACTTTTCATATAATATCGATTTTTCGATACACTGAAATAAGTTTGTCTCTACATATCATCACCATGACATATAAGAAGCCAAGGGTATTGAGCAAAATAGGGAGGTTGTCCATACTTTTCCTTCTTGTTTTCTTCCAACTCCATCTTCCCTTTCTTTTCTACTCAAAAACAAAAAAAATTAATTATGTCTACGTTAAAAGAATAACTATAACTATACATTATATAAAGAAAATAAAATTATATTAGTCCAAATATGTCTAGGACAAGGAAATTTATTTTACTTATAGTAAATATAATTTGGATTTCCATAAATAAAAACATTGCCAATAATACAATTTGACTACACACTTATGATCAAGTTGATTTAAATTTTAGATTTATATTAACTAATAATGTAAGATACTATAATATTTTACGATTTTAAAACTAGTTGGTACATTTGAATAATAATAATAAAAAAAGGAAAACTTACGTAAATGTAATGTAATAAAAAAATATTTACCATTTATAGTAATAATATTTATTTTTCACTTGATCACTTTTAATTCATTTATAATACAAGTTTAATACATATTACAAAGAACAATTTATTATTCACATATAATACAAGTTTTAATGATAGATAATACATTTATCACACATTTTAATACACTTATAATACAATGTGACAATCTTTTAATAAACATAATATATTTCTAAAACAATTATAATTCATATATATTGCATACATAATTCACTTTTAATACATATTAGAGATTTATCACAGTACTATTATAAATGGTAATAAATAAAAAATATCAGTAATTATTTTTAAAAATGTATTAATTCATGTAATTTTTCGATAAAAAAGAGTTTTTCGGCCCCAAATGGATGAAGCCCATTAGAGAGGCCCAAGTTAATCTTGTCTGAACAAGTTAACCTTGCCTCTTACCTGTTTGATGAAATTCCTCAAAGAAAGTAAATTATCCAAGTTGTTGATCAATGGGAATCTTCAATTTGGTGTTATAGTTTAGTATAAAGATTGAAAATGGAGAAAATAATGGTGTTGCAGTGTAATTCATCTTCTCTATTTACGCAGCTATGGCCAATGACAGTTACAGCTACGGCTTATACCTGCAGGTTTAGCTGCTCTAATGTTGTTTCTCACAGATTTACAAGAAGAATTAACATGGGGTTTCGTTCTTTTCAAGAAATTTCTACAAGGAATAGTGTTGTTAACTTAAGAAAAGCTCATTTTTGGGAAGATCCTGATGATGGTAGTGATAGTGAAGAAGAAGAAGAAGAAGAAGAGGAGAGGGAAGAAGATATGGATGTTGAGAGTAGCTTTGAATATGAAGAAAATAGAGCTATGGACAATTCTACAAATGGTTTGTCTAACAGGGAAGATGAGTTTGTGAAAGGTACTTCCTTTTTCCTGTTTTCAACTTGAAAAGTTATTAGTTTATTCAATAACAACATAAGCAGTGTAATTACACAAGTCGGATATGGGGAGGATAGAGTGTACGTAGATGTTAGAGATTTTTTTTTTTTTATATATATATATATATTGAGAAGCTTGTTATATTAGAATTCCAAACTCGCACTCGTAAAGTTCAAATCCCGAATCCATATCTTCAGTTGGCAGGAGCTCTAGTGCATCAATTCAGCTTATCTTTTGTATACCTGATTATTTTCTTTTTCCTTGTGATGCAGTATCTCGTGTCTTTTGGATCTCCAGAATCTCTTATAGTAGTCTCGAATGTTTCACGTATAGTTATCTGATACCTTTCGAATCTCAAATATCTGAAACTAGCATGTTCTTTTATTTTTCAGAAGTTGAACAGCTTTTGAGTCCAGAGGAAAGGGAAATTTTGTATCACAATCAAACTCCAGAGCTGGATAAGATATCAACTGTAAGTTCCAAAGGATTCAGCTGCTTCTTTCATATTTACATTCTTCTCTGACAAATAGATTAGTATGCAAGCAACGGACTTGCTGTTTGTACCGTCTTAGATACTACCTACAGTCTTTAGAGACCAAAATCCACATTATTTAAAAGAATCTATGGATATGCTAGTATAATCGCGTATTCTTTTGCTGGTTTCTGGAGCAAGTCCTGATACTCTCGAACGTGCTTCTACTCCAGGAAAAATGGAACCCTCTTCACACTTTTGCACTAGCAGGGCAGATACGATTTATGGATAGACTTCTAGAGGAGGGTCTTGATATTGATGCCGTTGACAAGGTAGTTACTCTATCCATAATATAGATGGTGTTGATTAACGTTCAATACTTGTTTGTTCGTTGTGTTTGAAGTAGTTATTACGTTAATTGGTGACAGGAAGGGCAAACAGCTCTTCACCATGCCGTTTTTGGTAAAAAAGAGGCTGTGATCAGTCATCTTCTAAGAAAAGGTGCAAACCCTCAAGTCAGGGATACGGTGAGACAACTGGTTTTTGTTTTTCAACTCCATCAACAACTTGCTTAAAGTTTCATTGTGTTGGGTCGTAACAGGATGGTGTCACCCCTCTACATTATGCAGTTCAAGTAGGAGCCTTGCAAACGGTTAAAATGTTAATCAAATACAAGGTTGACGTGAATGCTGCTGATAATGTAAGTGGATGTTTTATTTCATTTTCTCACATTTTTGTCATCTTGTTAGCTTAGCGATGAGTTATTCTTTCTTACAGGTTGGTTGGACGCCACTGCACGTGGCCATGCAAAGCAGAAACAGAGACATAGCAAAAGTTCTTCTTGTCAATGGAGCAGATAAGTACAGAAAGAATAAGGTAAATTTGTGTATAATTGTAACTTCAGCGCGGAACTAGAGTTATTTCTGGTGCTATCGTTAAGGCTTAAAATGGTGGATGAACTATGAAAATGGTAGATGAACTATATTTTGATCTCCTTAGTGGAAATCCTGATTTCACCAATAGATGTGCCAATCCAACTCAAATGATAGATGAACTATAAAGATTTATTATCCACTATAGTCAAAGTGAAAATGTGTAAACCATAAAACAAATTACATGAAAGTCGAAACCTATATTAGGCCGAACCGAACTAGAGAAGTAGTTCGAAAAAAGAAATTAGTGCTTCCACAACGATTTCTTCTTCTTCTTTTCTCTCAAACGTCATCACTGAACCCCATTTATGGGGAAATGTGGAGATTCTTGAAGTTCAACCATGACTTACACGGCACTAGACACATTCTATCTTGTGGAGGAGCAGCTTAGAAACTCGCCTTCTAGGAAAGATGGAATTGATGAAGTTACTAAAACAGCACTTCGAATCTATGGTTGTGATCTCATCCAAGAAAGTGGGATTTTGCTCAGATTACCTCAAGCTGTAATGGCCACTGGTCAAGTATTACTTCATCGCTTTTAGTGCAAGAAATCATTTGCCCATTTTAATGTGAATAGTATTGCAGCTAGTTGTGTTTGGCTTGCATCAGAACTCAAAGAAGCCCGAGAAAAGCAACGCAGGTGTTTGTTGTTTTCCACAGAATGGAATATAAGAGAGAAAACTTACCTGTAGAACATCTGGATACATCTTCGAAAAAATATATTGATTTGAAAGCAGACCTAATCAGAACAGAGAGGCATCTTTTAAAAGAGATGGGTTTTATCTGCCATGTCGAGCATCCTCATAAATTTATATCAAACTACCTTGCAACTCTTGAAACACCTGCAGAATTGAGACAAGAAGCTTGGAACCTTGCAAATGACAGTTTGCGCACAACACTCGGTGTAAGATCAAGAATGAGGTTGTGGCCTGTGGAGTTGTATATGCTGCAGCCCGTAGATTTCAAGTGACCCTCCCAGAGAATCCTCCTTGGTGGAAGGCATTTGATGCAGAAAAGGCTGATATTGGTGATGTTTGCGGAGTTCTCGCTCATCTTTACAGCCTTCCAAAGGCGCAATGCATTCCTGTGTGCAAGTACGGAGGCCCCTTTGCTTCATCAAACAGATCAAGGTTTGTTGGATGTTCCACCAGTGGGCGAAGAAACTGAGGAAGTTGCTAAAGATGTAGTAATAAAAGGTTTGTTGGATGTTCCACCAGTGGATGAAGATACTGAGGAAGTTGCTAAGGATGTAGTAATAAAAGCTGCCCTCGATAAGTTAAAAAGACTCAAAGAAGAGCGATGATGACTCTAAAAGCATGCCTTCAAAAGGGGAGTCAAAAGAAGACCCTGGAAGAGCTGACAATAGAACAGATGCCGCTGGAGGAAAGGAGGAGAGAGAGAGAGGACAAGGAAAGACTAAAGTCCCGTGAATGTGGTTGGGGAAGGAAATCTGACAGGGAAAGGGAGCGAGGGATGGAGAAAAATCCAGGGAAAGGAATCATCATTCAAGAGACGAAGGTCACGCGGAGAATCCAAAACATCACTCTTCTCGAGATTGTGATTACCAGTCTTATCCATCACAGGAGAAGGATCTTCGTAGACACCATTAGCTTGGAGAGCGGCCTGGCAAAATGTTACCATGCCAAATATGTTTGTGGTTTTTCTTGAGCATAGCTGCAGCTCTTTGCATATATCTGAGAGTGCCTTCTTCGTGAAACATTGGTTTTACCTTGCCTATATATATCATCTAAGGTCTCCTGTAGTCAAGACATTGGTTTTACCTATTTGCTTTTACTTCCCATGAATAATTGACTTACCTTTGCTGTCTAAATTGCTTGTAGACTAAAGCAGGATTGTTAACTTTCTGCACTACAGTTATATACTTGCGTGACTGGGAAAAAAAGCGTATGCCATAGTTTACTAATATACATTTTACTTTAGCTTATGACTTAACCATGGTATAGTTGTATGATTTTGTGTAAACACGGGATGCAGAAAGCGGATTTTTCATAGCGTGGGTCCTCTTTGACTAGTTATACCCTACCTATGTTTCTTTTTTCTTAAATATATGCATATGAAAATTTAATAACCTCTGGACATTTACATTTCACAGGATGGTAAAACACCCCTTGATATTAGCCTTTGTTATGGCAAAGATTTCAAGTCTTATGATCTGGCTAAGTTACTGAAGCTTGTAAATGCTAATAGAGAGCTGTGATTTGCATTTTTACTCCCATCAAAGATGAAGACAATCAATCATAGTCAAAGAGGAAGTTCTTCAACGCGTTGAGACGGATACATAGAAACACAATTCAGAGCAACTTTTGGACATGGAATCACTAGAATTTTAGAATATTTGGGCAGTTGTGTAGTCAGTCTTGCAACAGATTTGTAAAAATAGAACAGAACTTGTTTTCTTATGATATGTATGTGCTTGTGTAGATTTTAGCACATTATATTGTGCTTGCATCAGGTGAATAGGCAAGTCATGTATTTACATGGACTTTACCCCTACCTCACGGTAATGAAGAAAAAAAAAGCAGTACAATATGGAAGTGTCACAAATATGTATCCTAATATAGCTGTAACATATGATTACTTGCAAACAAGAATATCCAAAGTATTTTAACGCTATGGTTACGCAGTTCACAACAGGTACCGCAATCATAATTGTTATCTCATCAAACATTGCCTCTAGCGTTTTAACTGATCGTGATGTGCTAGATATCGTTTGATCAGTGCTTTGAATAGACAGAGGTTTACTACAAGTACAATAACATCTAAAACAATGCATTTTCTGATTCTAAGGAACAGGTCAATCGCCGCTTGCACAACCTTTACAGCCGCAATGGACACATTCTATAACCTTCTCCTCCCTTAGATGCTGTGGAACTCGACAGACACAGGTTGTTTGAAAGTTGTGATCCCGCGGTTGCATGCACCTCAAACAGCAGAGACGCTCATAACCAGGCTGTAATTCAAAGGCAAAACCATAAAGATTGTGCCAAAGTATACACAACTATGGAACCCCCACCCACACACAGGAGAAATGTACTAAACAAGAGGCAAAACAGAAATACATTCAAAAAGAAGAGATACACATTGACATATGCTGCTTTTTCCATTTCGCAAGAACTGAAGCAGAGAGGATGAACATACCTTTTTCCATTTCGCAATCAAATTTCGATCAGCATATCCTTGATCCATGCAAAACTCATATAATTCCTTGGAGATCTCTTTCCTCCTGTGAAAGAGATCAAAAATATACCGGCTCTTCTGATGAGCAATTTTGAAAATAGGCCACAAAGCCTCGCATTTTCTTTTGCCATCATGAGGATCATTCTCAGCTGTACCAGCAGCCAAACAACAATAAAATTCATATCAACATTACGAGGTGACATCATTTTGACTACATAAAAACAATAAGCACAAAAATTGATTTTATGACAATACCTTCCCTCATTTTTGCTTGGAGTTCACTAAGAGTAGGTTCAATCAACTCCCATCCCTCTGGATATTTGACACGGTTTGTTTTCACTTTAGGCATGACTCTGCACCAAACAGACATAAATGTAAAACATAACCAACAAATTTAACTCAACTTTCGACTTACACGAGCAGGTTTTTATGCTTGGTGTTTCATGCTTAAATTTCAGGGCCATCATACTGAATTATGTGTTACAAATTCAAGAAAATTACAATTGAAAGGGAATTTGTTCACGACGGGAAAGAAGAAACAAGTGCTCATGATTGCAGGTGATATCATAGAAGAAATATATGCTGGCTGATATCTCTTTCAGTTCTTCTTTTGTTTCTTTCTCTTGTTGCCAAATACACAGAGCAAAGACGTTTAACAACTAGGTAAAGTGGCTACACGGGAGTACAAAGAAAATATTCTGTGAACTGTGAGCCATCAGTACTTGTAATTAACATGACGATAAGTTTTGGTTGTAATAATACCCCTAGGAAAAGATAATAACAATATTATAAAATTTTTACCAATTAAAAGAACTTGATAAAACAAGTTCTTCACAAAAATATAATGATGACATATCTTTTGGATTTCTCCACATATTGGCACTATTACACGGTAATAGGTCATAATAAGAATTTTAGCAAAACTGCCCACAACAACATACCCAATTAATCCCCATGGGATCCAGGGATGATAGGATGTACCCTATACTTGTGGGGTAAAGAGATTGTTTCCGATAGACTCTTGGCTCGAAAGAGAAGTATCTGATGATCGGGAGAAAATAAAACAGCAAAATAGCAAAGATACAAAAAAAGTACATCAACATGTAGTAATACACACTCAAGTACAAGAAACTGCGAGATAATTAAATAGCACTACTAAAAAGGAGAGGAAGAGGCTAGCCCGCTACCTCTCCCACAAATTAGCAGCAGTGCCATTAACACAAATTATCATGTCATGTTAGCAAAGCTGAGTGTGAACAACCTAGCAACCAAACTGGTATCAGAGTAGCTACAGCGCAGCAGCAACACTAAACTGAAGGGCCTCAGCAAGTGTAGTTTACTTTAGGCTTTGGTCACCCAAGCTTGGGCGTCAGATGTGTGAGGATAGGGAATTTGGTTGGGCTGATAGAATTTTTTTTTTTAAAAAAAAAGAGATTAGCCTTAAGGAGGCCAGCAGAAGCTCTTTATAAACTTTGGTTAAAAACCAACAAGAAAACCAAGTGCTTGACAGTGACAGCTAAACTGAAATACGAAAAAGAAAAAAAAAACTACAAACAAAATCGACCATGTATCTCTAATCTCCCAATCTCTTCACATATCTCATCCATCACTTGCAATTGTCTCCATCCCTTAGAACCCAATCTTGTTACACCTCTCTAACTTGTTATTTATTCAAGCTCATTTCTGCTTCCTATTGCCTCAGTTATTGACGTTTAACGTCAACTGTGGCAGTACACAAATATCGCATCAAAATAACGAAATATACAGACACTGATGATAAATATATTGTCTCAACTTTTGCTTCACAATGCACCGTGGGTTTTGGTTTTGTTGTTTCATCAGAAACTTGTACGATATATAGGATAACTCTTTACTTGCCCTAAGGAAAACCGAGAGTACAGTTTTGCACTGAAGGGTGTGACTTAGTGTCGCCCCTTTATACGAGGTTCATTGGCAAGGAAAAGTATGCCTTAGAACCTCGATGACGCTCAACACATTTTAAGCCTCGCACTAGGGCTTGTGCCTTTTCACGCTGACTACACAACCGTGAATTGTTTGTGCATTTTTCACTCCAATACTAAATCATTTGTCTCTTAAAAAAATTATGATTTCTCAGTCTTGCAACAGTAACATAATCATGCCCAAAATCTCATAAACCAAATTATACATTAAAATTGCAATTTAGGGTTTCTTTCGAGTCTTGCAACAGTAACATAATCACGCCCAAATTCTCATAAAACAAATTATACACAAACTCAGCAGTAATTGCAATTAACTTTTTTTTCACTATAATTAGATGCAACAAATACAATGTTACTTTCGAATTTCAGAAAATTTAAACTAAATTCCTGTAACACAATTCTCAAATCCAGCACACATTGTGAGATAATCGAATACAAAAGAACTTATTAAAAGCTTAACGAATTAACCAAATATAATAAGCAAAAGGACACTTTAACTGTTCAAATAACACAAAAGCAACTTACCGGTGTCGAATATTAACTTCCGATCAAACTTAACGCCGGTGTCAGTGAGAACGACGTCGCCAGATGCGGAGGCAGCGCCGGTGAGGTCTGAATCTGGAAACTTCGATTTCTTATCGGAAAAAGAAAAAAAAAAGTTCTGTTTTTGTTCTTTGCTAATAATTCAAGTCGGATCTTGGAGCGGAATACGTGGGTAACCCGAATCCGAATATGATTTGACCCTTTTTAAATATAGAAGGGAAAAAGATAAAAAAAAAATATGCTTAAACTATCATTTTTGTTCTTCATTGATTTATTTTCTCTTTTTTTTATATAGAAAATTTGTCGTATCACAGAATGGCGAATTTTTATCACAAGACTCAAAAAATTGAGAGGATTTTATAGCTAAGATTTTAAGACTTATAGAGGTGATAGTTGATTGAGATTGAATAGTCAATGTATACGTCATGTATAGTCAATTCATACAATATAGTTAAGTTATATTTAACTTTCTGAGTGCATCATAATGTTTGATCAGTGTATAACTCATGTATGAATTTGAAAAACTATATTGTATAATTAATGCGAAAAACATATAAAAAATAATAACACACATATACCTCTTTACATCTATACCTTACCAAATAATTACAATATATATCCCATTTACTAATTTCACTTAAGTGATATATATATATATATATATATATATTGTATTAGTATATTTACATATATACTATTATACTATCATTGACTAATAACAGTTTTCCGAATAAAAAACCTTATTGATTTAGTAACAGTTAAGCAAAATTATCAATCTTAATGATATAAATACAATATATGATTATGATTTAATATCACTTAAGCCAAAACTATCACCCTAAATAAATAGTGATATGGATTGTAATTATTTATGAGAGAAAGAGTATGAGTATTTTAGGAATTACTTTAAATTTGAGTATAAGTTTATACTGATTTTATGATCCATTTATGTAGTTTTCTCAAGAATATCAATGCATACTTCCTCTATAATGGGCTTCCACCATTTGGGCTGTGAGTAGCCCATGTATGTTCCACTCTCTAGGAAAAATAAATAAAGAGATAATGGACTTGGGCTTTTCCAGGCTGCGGATTTGGGCTCTGGCCCTATTTTAAGGAAAAATTACTAAAATACACTACTTTAATTTATTTAATTTCATTAATTCCCTACTGATGTATTAAATTACAAAAATCTCTTTTTTCATCCCAAATGATACTAATTAAATTTTATACATTAAATTTCATGTCTAACACATAAAAAAATACTTAAATTCACAATTTAAATTAGATACTTAAATTTTTATATACTTATCAATATTTCATATAAATATGATACTTAAATAACAGATGTATGACAGTATGACAGTATGATACACATATACTATTATTTGATACCTTAATATATACGAAATATAAGTAAAAATAAAACAAAGAATCATTTTATCATGATCACCAAAAAATGATACTTGATAAATTAATTGAACATACTAACAAATATATTCAAAAATCATGATAAGATTAAAAAGATACTTAATACAATTCATCTTATACTAACATATAAAAAACAGATTAACATGATACTTACAAAATACTAATTGAAACTATATTTTATAAAGTATCCGGAATTCTTAAAAATAAGGGATTTTTGGTAAATATTGATATTATAAGGATAGAATGTAATTTATCATTTACAGTATGTCATTTGCCTAATTTTTACCTATTTTAACCCTTGAAATCCAGTGTATACACCAAGTATATACTTCTGTATACGGATTATGTGTTTGCTTTTTTTCTATTGTATCGGTGTGTATACTAAATTTATACAGACTGGTTCATCATCTGAACATGTATGATAATTTTTGGCCCATATTTGTTACTACTACAGCTGTATACCGTGAGTGTATATTCATGTGTATCAGCATGTATTGTGTTGCATATCAACTCCCTTGAACCTGTAAAATAGCTTCGTTGCTTGATTTAAACATAATAATGAGGCAGAAAGAGGATAGTATATTTTATGTTTTGCTTTTAAAAAGTTAATTTAATTAATTTTTAAAGTTTAAAATATTCTATTAAATTAGTGTTTAGAGTTTGAAGATGAGATTTGAACATTCAAAAACTAAACGATTTTTTATATATAAATAATTTAACTCCCGAAAGAAATAGTAGTAACACCTAACATGATAAAGTACTAAGAACTACATAGGGCTGCAACCGGACATGTTCGAAACAAAGAAGAGAAGTAGTTCATTATTATTTGTATCAACGAATACATGTGTATTTGCATTTGTATTAGTAAAGAGATCTCTATAATTGACACTTATAATTTGTATTTATATACTTGATTTATCATTTGTATTTGTATTTGTATAACTAATTGTTATGATTAGTATTTGTGTTGAGAGATGAGGAGGTAGAAACAAGCGTGAGAGAGACTAGGTCAGGAGAGGAGAGATGCGAGGGATAAATTATTGACAAAAAGGAGAGAGACGAGAGAGATTCTAGGGAGGAGGGAAAGAGGAAAAGAGGAGAGAGAAAATAGCAATAAAATCCAAACTATTACTACAAATTGTAATTATTTCAAACTACAGTGGTGTACTGTAAATAAAAATTACATTTTTGCCTAAGTAATTTTCTCATTATTAATAAATAAATATAGTTATGCTTTATTTACATTAAAAATGTTTTAAAAATTCATAGAAAGTCTGCAATGACTATATAGTATATACTATAACTTTCCAAAAGTCATAAAAAGTAGAGCAAAGGGCATAATTCACATACTTTTAAGGCAAAATTAATATTTGTCCTTATAAGTTTATAATTATAGAAATTTCTCAAACTCATACAATAATATAAGCGCTGATACATTAATTTGATGCGCTAGATACATTAATCGTTAAGTAAGATACATTATATTTTAAACATGATACACTAATTTAATGTACATTTTATACATGATCACTAATCTGATGCGTGAGATACATTAATGTGATATGCGAGATACATTAATTTGATGTGCAAGATACATTAATTTGATGCGCTGATACATTATATATGTGATAATAAGGGATTTTTGGGATTTGTAACACTAATAAAGGATAATGGTAATAAGAGGACTTAAAGGTGGACTTTCTGTCATTTTTCTTAAAACATATACATTGACAATGCAATATAACCTACATATACTTGTGTTATACATTGTGGTGCACTCATAAAGCCTAATATAGCTTAACTATATGCAAAAATAAGTTAGTTAACAAGCTTGGTCTTCTTTTCCTTTATTGTACATGTAATGTATCGATATTGTATAAATAGTAATGCAATGTATCAATATTATATACATAATTTACAATCACACGCACGTGTATATATATATATATATATGTATATATATATATATATATATATATATATATATATAAAGGACAAATTTCAAATATATAAAAATTTATTAAGTTATTAGGCTATAAGAAATATAGTCGTATTTTATTTACATTAAAAATAGTCAAAAAGTCGTAGGAAGTATACACTAACTATACAATATATCTTGGAAAAAGTTATAGAAAGTATACACTGATTATATAATATAGCTTGTCAAAAGTAATAAAAAGTATACATAGATTATATAATATAGAAGACTTATACATGACTAGACGCTATGTATACATTATGATACATGGAAAAAATTGAATAGAGCATAACTATACAGGCATATATATGAAGTATACATTAACTATTTAATCTCAATGAACTTAAATTAACTCTAAATAGTCCCAAATTTCATATATTAAATCCTTTCAGTGTTTCGAGTATTTGATTTATTTTTCACTTGAAATGACTCACATTTACAATGCGTCAAATTTTTAAATCAAGTAAACTTTAAAATTTTAATGGTTGGTTGATCACGAAAGAAGGAAGGAAGGAAAGGGAAGAAGATAATTCTTATTGATTATAAAGGAGGAGAAGACATAAATTGGGCTAAGAAGATGATAAGTGAATCATATGGGCTGAAATTTTGCATAATTTTGCTTAGGGCAACTTTCACGTAGCAAACATAAAATTTATATTTGAATGTTATAACAAAGTTTACATAATTGTACTTCATAGCAAGCATATATATGCATAATTCGCTATACATATACAATTGAAGCGAAATGTATAAAACGATAAAGAGAAAGAGACTTGGACAGAGAATTGTATAAAACGAAGTATATGAAACGAATTGTATAATTATAAGTGTGTAAGACGATTATACACCATTTGAATTTGTATAAAACGAGAAAGGGAGAAAGACAAAAGAGACTTTGGCAGGGAATATACAATTGAATCGAATAGTATAATACGAGAAAAAGAGAAATTATATACAATTTGAATTCGTATAATACGAGAAAGAGAGAAAGACAAAAGAAGACTTGAGCAGAGAAGTACTTTTATTGTATCATTATAAGTGTATAAGACGGAGATATATGTATTTGCATGTGTATATACAATTTTCTCTCGCTTTATACAACTAGAAACACAATTTATACAATTTTATTGTATAAAGTGAGAGAGGCGAGTGAAGGAAGCGAGTGAGAGAGGAAGAGTGGCGAGCGAGAATATGAGGGAGAGAGATACTGACAAATATTTTGATATGAAACATAAATAAATCAAACGATAGCTATTACTTATTTTATATTATTAGTTTGAAATTCTATACAATTTATTCCTTTTTGGTTATAAACGTCCAATTGGGCTGTGAATGGCCCATGCATTTTCTCTTGAACAAATTATGCAAAGCCTACAAATTCTATTTACATAAATATGTTATGTTTAAAAAAATATTTATCATTTATAGTAAAATATTTTTTTTCACGTGACCAATTTTAATATTTTTATAATACATTTTAAATACATATTACAAAGAACTATTTATTATTCACATATAATACAAGTTTTATTGGTGGATAATATATTTATCACACATTTTAATACATTTTTAATACAATGTGATAAATTCTTACCAAACAAGATAATATATTTAAAAAACAGTTATAATACATATATATTGTATACATAATTCAATTTTAATACATCTTACATATTCAACATATTATTGTTACGTATTGCTAAAAATAAAACGTATCACTACAATTCGTAATTA